AATGTGAAACAAGAGAATATTATAATTAAGCCAAGTAGTCTCCGAAGCACTGCTTTTCGAGGCTGACTAATCCGTGTTGAGCTTTATGATATAATAAGAGGTCATGTCCCAGCGAAGAGCTATGCTTGATAGCACCTCATCGAAAGACAATCGCATAGTACATATGCTTTTAATGAGGCCAGCCTATGAATTCATTCGGTTTAGTTTTTCATTATAAATGCAATGTGCAAAGACATGCTGCGAGCAATGTCATCCTTATCCATTACTAGAGGATATCAAGCAAAACTTTAATCCTAACTTTTTTAGCCCTATTTGGAAATGAGCCGAACCAAACCGACTCAATATCACTTTCAAGTCTCACATTTTTCTATCAAGACAGCATAAATCCGAGAGACCATCCGTTAACAAACTATCCATTCAAGCATGTAGATATGATGACATTCTTCCGTCTTCAAATGCACCAACATTAAGGCAATTTAAATGAAGAAATCCCTTTGAGAACCAAGTAATGTTTGCATGTCGTAATAAGAAGCACAGAAATTAGTTATCTAAACACGATGGATAAAGGCAGAAAACAAAAAAGGAATCAGTGAAGAGAAATTTGCAACGAAAGCAGGACAATTGACCGAGGCAAGATGCAGACAGATATGAGGAATTACAAGATAAATTAGATATCACTGTTCAGATGTATCATTCGTAGTAGTGTCACAAGGTCAGACCATAAAGATTAACCAAGAAAAGGTTAAAATATCCCAGTTAATTAAACTAAATCTTGTATCAAGAACTTTCGCATTATTGTTGGTGCCTAAGGGACTAAGGCAAAGTGGAAACTGCGGTCCATTCGGAAGAGGCTATATTTACAGGACTACTGTAATAACATCGTAGAAATTTTAAACATACCGGACCATTGGAAAATCTGATAATTAAGGTCAATTGATGCTACCATCAATTTGTCCACTGATTACGCTATGACTATAGTAAAATAAGAAAATTCTCTTTAAAGAGCCTTGCCGAATTCTCGACTCTTCGTCAATAGCCGATTCATCGCCTTGACTGGCAGCATTATCAAAAAGGGCATCCAGTGGCGCTGTGGGAACAGGCAGCGGAAAAGGCGATACTCCATTCCTCGACCCCTCATTGTTTGGATGCAGAATCTGTCTAGGAAGGCTTTCAAGGAAGACCCCGTGCCAAAATGGCTCGCTCCAGTTGGTAAGGAAATGGTTGGGTGAGTTCTGGACCGAAGAGGCCGTGGGACGTAGAACGCCAGCCAGACGGAGACAGCCGCGGGCGATAGAGAAGAACAACTGGAGGATAGGATAAATCATAAACTAATGAAAGCTAAGGATTCAATAATTTAAAAAAATTATTAGGAAAATTGCTTAATTGCTATAGTAAGAACCGATCATGCCGAAATACAGGCGTAAAATTTGGTCTCAGCGCCGAAATCTAAAATGAAATTAGTGTCACAACATCATAATTTCCTCTCCGAACAAGGCCAATCCATAAATGGAAATAAACGTCGATGGAACTTATGTTCAATCCCAGCCTTGTGCAGATAACCTCGAGAAATAAAAATATTTCGTCCCCACCTGAAAATGGCCTATGGAGAAATCCTCCTTTACTAGGCTGTGTTGAGTTAACGTACTCATTTTTTTCATCCAATTCGTAAAATATTTGTGTACACACAAAATGCTGCTTGCTGTATAAACGTCTCTAACAAAAAAAGAAGAATAAGGCAATAAAAATTGTTGTTATGGCCTCTGTTTTGTTCGCAGCCTATTTTCGCTGCATATAATTAGTTTGGCCTCGTTATCACAATTCTGTCGTATTGTCAGAAAGACTTATATAAATGTACCTTTACCGAAGTCGTCTGT